AACTCTTTTGGGGGGACGGCTAGTGGGTTGAGAGTATTTAAATTTAGGGAACCTGCCTGGCACGGGTAATTTGGATGACCCGCTCGGGCTCCCATGGAGAAAGGTTCCACATGGGAGCATGGGTAAGGCCCCTTGGGCAGTTCTTGCTTAAAAGGCCCCAAATTTCTATGGCCTTACGGGGAAGGTTTTTTATTCCGGGAACCGTTTCTTGCCCCAGGTAAAAAGGGGCGCAGATTCGGGGTCCTCTTGGGAGGAATTTTCCCCCTTTTGCTGTATTCCAAAGGGGCTTCCCTTTCTTAAGTTTATTGTTGGGGCCGTGGCCCAACGTGTAGTTTGGAAATTCCCCCTCAGGTTGCACCCTCATTTTTTGGCTGTGGGGAAAGCCCAACAAAGCCGATGGATGGGGTAAATGCGCCGGACCATTTTCCTTGGAGGGGTTTCCCCCTGGTGCGTTTGGGTCCCGGAGGGGGGGTATAAAAACCTAAGCCCCCCCATTTTCTGGCTCTCACCACCAGTTTGGTTGCGAGGGAGGGGAAGTAATCCCAAACTTGTGGTTGTTGTTGTCCTTGGCGCATCATCTGGCCTCTTCCCCGGATCCACAGGCTGGGGCCGTAATTCGATCTATTACCCTGAACAAGGCTGCTTTATGCCATCTTTGGGGGGTGAACATACCCTGTGTTGAAGGGGGGAAGGGAATTGTTTGGGGGGGAACAAAGTTAAACAGTCCATCAGGAGGGTGTCCCAATGCTCTTGCCCCCACTGTTAAAGGATGGGGGCAAGTCCCCCTTGTTTTGTGGTATACCCACGTTTTTTCTGTCAGGGGGTCAACAGGAATATCTTTTGTCCCGCAATTGCCCCCTTTTTCCAGTCCTGCTGTCCAGCTGTTGCTATTCTTGACTCGGAATTAAAGGATGGGTAGTGATGATGAAAAACTTGGTGGTTTGGGGAGGGATGGTGGAGGTAACAACAGGAAGGCAATTTTCCCCAAGGGCTGTCAGGCCATTTCCCGCCCAGCCACAAAAGGAAAAACCCCGGGAGTGGAAGGGGGGGGACTTGTGACATGGTGTTAATACCCGGGCTCCTTGTGGGTACGCCGGTGAAATCGGGGCCATTTGCAGGCTTTTGTTTTACTTGTGCCAAGGAAGGGGGGGCCCCTTTGAGGGGGAATCTGTGACCCGGTGGTCTGGGCAGGGAGGGGGTTTGGTGGAAAACCCCCCAACAGGGGGCCCTTTTCCCCTAAACAGACAGCCTTACCCGTTTCCGCCCAGCGCAAAAAGGTCCGGGTGTGTCCTGGGTGGGGACCGGGGGGGAAAAGTTAAACCCCATGGAAAAAATTAGCGTCGATACGATGACTTTTTGGGTTTTTTCCTGGGTGGAACCCCCGGGGGGAAAAACCCGAACAAAATTTTCATCCAAGCATAGTTCTTATCCCCTGGTTTTGTACCCCCTCCCCCCTGCCTGCTTGCGGGAAGAGATGAGCTAAACCCGGTGCACCCGTAGTCAATGACGACGTATGCTTTGAAATTTAGTAAAAGCAAAGTACATCTTTTTTCCCCTGCACGGTCCCCTCGTCATGGCTTCATGGCTTGAGTCTGAGTGAGACGTGCCCACATCCCGGGCCCTGTTTTGAAAGGTCAGCTTTTTTCAATGTAGTTTTCCCGAAAAGGTAGGAGCCGTCCACTCAAGTTCTATATCCTGAATAGTAATCTATTCACAGGATTGGCCCCTTAAAAACCATTGCAGAGATTTCTCGGCCGAGATCTTGAGGCCTGTTCCCTTTGCAAGAGCGTAATTAGGTCCAAGTCTTGAGCCTGTCGTTCAAATTGCCTTTCCTTCACATATCAAGATCAAACATGCTGGGGCTGGTACCACTATGAAAGGAAGGCCACAAGTTCCTGCAAAAAGGAGTTAAACAGGGTGGATGAGCCCCCTCCTTGTGGGTCCCGTTTTCCAGGGGTTTTAAAGGAAATAGTGTCCCTGAAAGCTGACACGGGTCCCTGCCCCAAAGGTGGGATCTGCCCGGCCAGGAGGCGTCCTTTGTTTCCCCTTCCGACTATTATTCCCGAATGCTGTGGGGCTGGCTAGCTCAAATGCCTTCTCAAGGGCGATAAACGCGTCTAGGTTTTTTGTTGCTATCCAATTGGTTTTGTAAGTGGTTTGCACTTCTGTTCCCACTCCTTTGGGGAAGCCCAAAAATGTATGAAGGGGGCCAAGTTTCCATAGGAGGGTTTAACACCATCCTCTCAGCGTTTGGCTAAACAGCTGGTCGCGATAGGGTCTCATACTGCCTGGGTCCTTGGGCTTTGGATTGGTAGATTGTACTTTTTTTTCCAAGCTGCTGGGGTGTCCTGGCCCTCCCCGATTTTTAAGAGTTAGTATGGCCCCCCCCCTCCCTGCCCCGCCCGTGCAATATGGGGTACGTCACACCCTCGTGCCCGGGGCGTGCACCGTTTCTTAAAGGCACGTCGGATTTCCCAAATCCGTGAGGTCTACTTCAGTCACATTTCCACTACATGCAGCTTGTATCGTTGCTGGGGCCCGTGGCAGAAGATCCCTGTATTCCCGGGTGTCCCGTGGGACGAGTGGGGGGCTCCCCTGGGAAATGAAAAGCCCCACTAGTTTCTTGCTTCCTGGGTGGGTTCGGTGGGGCTGGTGGCCTCGGCTTGTCTTGCCAGTTGCTATGTTGAGCTTGCCCCATATTCAGATAAGTGGTTGATGCCCCAATGTTGAGCACCACTCCCCATTTCTCAGTTTTTTCTCGGGAATTCCGGGGATGCTGCCAATGGCTTCGAGTATTTGTTCTGCCCTAGTTTACGCCTGTAAGCTTTTCCCAAAAGATTTATCGGTGTTTTTGCTTCCGCACTCGTCGTTGTAGAACCACCAGTCCTTTTTTGGGGTGCGTCCTGCGGACTTCGGAATTTCGACTCGCTGCCCCGGATGGGAAAATGATTACTCCTTTCAGCCGTATCACAGTTTCAGATAGGGTATGTGGACCCCCAGTATAAGAAATCCCGGAACACCCTTCCCGTTGGCCCTCTTTACGCCCTTAGGAGGCAGCACAACTTGGGAGGCCTGTTGAGTTGAAGGTGGTGATCAAAGCAAAGAGGTCCTGCGTGAGGATGAGTTTCCCAGTGGCTCCTGCTGCGAGTTGTCTTGACCCGAAGGTTTAAGGGCGAGGCAGCCACCCAACCCGGGGTGTGGGGTCTCCATTGTTTTGAACTTTACCCCTGGAATATCGTGAGGGCTTTTCTATTTGTCTCCCCTTGGTTGCTGAGTGGAGTGCAGAATAGGGTTGTGGTTAAATCTCCCCCCCACAATAATCATCAGGCGTGCTAGTGCAGGAGCTCTG